AGAGGAAACAGGAGCTGAGCGATATACATAAGCTCAATGCAAGAGTACTGAAGCTAGAGGAACAAGTTAAAGCTACCCTAGAAGCTACCCCGCCACCTCAGCGGAGAAGCAGCATGGCTTCCATGGAGTTCGTTCAATAGCCTGACTTCACAGCTCCTAGCTACCCCGTGGATGCTATCATTGAGGATCAACATTGCCAGCTTATGATGAAATGGCAAAACATCACCTTGAAGGCAGTTGTCGGCACTGTTCCACCTTCTCAACCCGAAAAAACTTTTCATTGTCGTCTGATTCCACAGGGCAATGCTGTTGCGATGGCGGATGAAGTAATGGAGGGATTTGAGGAGCTCGAGCTTGACCACCCTACAGGTGAAGGGGAGATTCAGCTAGGTCTTGCTCTGAAGACTCCATGTCTATGGCGGAAGGAGTACATCAAGCTTCCAAACTGGATGCCACCGCCTCCTCCTCCTCCTCCGGCGAATCAAGGCACTCCCTCTCCTCCTCCGCCTCCTCCTCTGGCGAGTGATCAGGGCACTCCGCCTCCTCATACGCCTCCTCCGATGCGTGACGGCACTCTGGCTCCTTATTCGCCTCCTCCAACGAGCACTCCGCCTCCTTTGGTGCATGAGAGCACTACGGCTCCTCCTCCGCCTCCTCCGGCGCGTTAGAGCACCCCGCCTCCTTCGGCGTGTCAGCGGAATCTGCCGCATCAGCAACGGCGAAAGAGAGAGGCCACCGCTTCGGCGGCTAGCAGTACAAGTAGAGGAGGGAAGCAACTCAAGTACGGTCCATCTCTCAAGGCTCCGGGAAAGTTACCATATGAGAGGACCGACAAGGAAAATGAGGACATCAGTCGTGCCCAAGTGAGGGACTTTTTTGCATGAAAACCTCCACCTCCGAAGGAAATGATAGATCCGGTGAAAGTGAAGCGGACTATCGATGCCCTGAAGCGACCACCACCGCCTCCGCCGGATTCCAACTATGTGTGCACTATTAAAAAGGCATATAAGGAAGCGGAGCGGTCGGGAAGTACTTGCAGTGATGCAAGGTTAGCAGAATGAAGAAGTGGGAAAAAAGTCCCCAGCTCGGCGAATAGGCAAAGCAAACATGCCCCCCGCTCAAGGTGTCTAGAGATATCGTCGCTAATCATCCGGGGATGGTGCCCGGTATCACTCATGTTGTTACCTGACCGATGATATAGAGTTTGAAACAATGGAGGTGGACGAATTCAAATTCCAGCACGGGCAGCCCGTCGTCAAACCTGATCATCCTCCTCCTCTAACGACGATGATGCGAAGACTCCATGAATGGTACATGGAAAGATGCCGCCAGTCTGGGAAGCATACTTTGACCATGAGAATTAAAGAGGAGCGCGACCTCGTTGGAATGGATATTTTGAATATTGAATTTGACGAGTTATTCCAGTTATACAATCAAAAGGCCCTTGACAAAACACTCGTGACTTGCTACTGTCTGTAAGTACTACTTCTGTAATAATTAAGTCTCTATATATAGCTCAGCTCTTTCATTTGCATGTATATATAATTATCCTCACTATATTATGCAGGTTGAAGATCGTCAAATGCAGAAAAGCAGATATCTATGACATTGGGTTCATTGATCCAAATGTCATACATGAATGAACGGTCAAACACAATGTCTCTGAAACCGAGGACAACTTGCTACAATCATTGCTTAAAAATCAAAACAAAGATAAAATACTCTTTCCTTACAACTTCAAGTGAGTGTTAATGTCTTGTGCATATTCGGTTTCCCTCACTCGAGGTTAACTATAGTAATGTAATTGATGAGTTATGCATGCGTGTGCGGATTCCACTTTATTTTGCTAGAGATTAAGCTTGAAGCTGTAATAGTAACTATCTTAAACTCGAGAAGAAAAGATCCCCAGGAGTATGCGGACATGACTGATATGCTCCAGAAGTAAGTTCAATTGATCATTATCGCACCATATCGGCAACTTTGTTCATTTCTTGGATATCAAGTAATTATTCTCTTTGTTTGGCAAGGTTTGGAAAGAGTTCACCGTAATTACACCGGGACTGCCGGCGCAGCTGCAATTTAAATACCCGAAAGTAAGTACTACTAGCTAGTTCCGTGCATATCCCATTGATTCTAGCTAGTTTCGTCAATACCATTCAGCATGCTTGATTATCAGTTTGATTGAACTCTATTTCTCGTAAAGTGCTTGTGGCAGGAAGCCGGGAATGATTTTTGTAGGTACTACGTTTGCGAGTTCATCTACAACTCGACAACCTCTAAGTGGGGCTACTCTGAAAAACAATATGAGGTACGTAAACAAAATAATTCATAATTTTATTTTATTACCATCATTTGTGTTGAGTTTCATTCATATAAATGTACTGACCCACTTCTTTAAATTAGATGTGGCAGATGCGGGATGAACTCCGACGACATGATCACATACGAGCTATTCAAGAGGAATTGGCGGGATTCTTTCTTGACCATGTCATACATAAAGCCAGAGAATACCATGTGGAAGTTGAAATAGACCTTAGATGTTAGGGTTTGTAATAGATCTTATATTGTATATATGTAGCTAGTAGCGTCGGATAGATATACGAAAACTTGTTATTCGACCAATCTCTCGGAGAAAGAGAGGTTACTTCTCTCTGTATATGTTCATGACAATCTTGTGTACTTAATGGTTCCTTCATTTGCTTACTAGCTAGCGTGTCGAGTTCTCTCTATAGGTATAGTAGCTAGCTAGCTCCGACCAAGCACGGAGGTAAGAGAGGTCACTTCTCTCTATTAGCTAGCTAACACAATATATGAA